CWMCMAMMRMAWRCAWASWRWGTGTGTGTGTGTRTATATATACGCTTTGTATGCTTTTGGTGGTAGAATTGTTATTTTTGGCTTGTCATTAACTCAGCAGTTTGGGAAGAAATAATGATCCTGTTCTGATTCTGAGAGGCAATGACTATGAATAGAAGCAGTGATAGAATTGCATCTCCTCTGCTGTGGAGGGAAGACAAAAGATGAAATCTTATTCTGGTTGCAGCCCATGACAAAGCTTCCATCTACTTCCAAGGAGAAAGGTTTAATGTGTAGCAACCTGAGTGCACCTGAAATCTGTTGTTAAACGTCAACATCTTTTTTTTAAAAGATTAGCAAAGAGAAAACAAATGAATGAATAGTATAAAGGAGTAAGTTGGCAACTGAGTTTAGTTTGTTCCTAAATCTGTTTGTTTAGGGAGTTTTTTGTTTGTTTTTGATAGCTAACAGTATAAGCATTTTCCATTTGGTTCAATGTTATAAAAACAAACATCTAGGATGTGGTTGTCAAGCAGTGTCTATAACAACATTGTGGTTGTTTGTTAATTAAAATATTTTTGCAGAGAGAATGCAAAATTTCCCACAGTAGTGCCTGCTTAACCTTTTAGTGTGCATGTCTTATAAATGTCAATCCCCATGTGTTGATTATCAATGCTGTAAATAAAGGCTTCAGGAGAAAAATAACCTAAAAAGGAAAAAGATGTAGTTTCTCATTTACTCTCCTTTTCAAAAGGTCTTACAAGTCCTGAGACTTTTTGATATCAACCTAATGCATGATCAGTGTATACAAGTTCTATTTTTTTAACAACCCCAATATTTAAATCTAGTCTCTGAACTCCTGTAACACTACGTATCTTCAGTGATCAACAAGAAAACAAGCATTTTTTTTTCTTCTTTCCATTACTATAGTAAAGCAAAACCATAGCATAGATTTATTCGATTATAGAACTTTAAGGAGTTTCTTAAATTAGGGAAACATCATTTCCAAAGTGATGGAAATGTCTTCTCAAGAGATACTCAAAATATTTCTACTTAAAGTAACATGTACTTCAAGAGTCTCTAAGGAGAGGCCAGCTATGCTCAACGTGCCCTTGGAGAAACCTCAGCAGATGAAGTTGTGAATGTATGTAATGAAGTGATACTGGACAATCTCCTATGTCATGTCATGTCTCTCACTTCCAAGTTTTCATGGCAAGACAGATTTTTTTCTCAGGAAGGTTCTTCAGTGACCTATCTGTAAGATGCTAAGCTAAGGCAACAGCTGAGAGCATCTGTTCTGTGGGGAAGGATGGGGGCTGAGTTTAGGAGCAGGCCTGAATTAAACATCTTAGAAAGTCTTGTAAGAAACAAAGAAAGGTTCTGTGAAAGCACAATGAAAACTAGCAATGCTCACACTTGAAAGAAAGGGCTCAAACCTGGAATGGCTGGATGAGCTCTATTTTGTAAAATCTAAGGTATTAGGCCCTTTAGAGAAGGCTGCCATCTAAAGTGGAACAAAAGTACTGTGCTGCTATTTCTAGCTACTCTTTCAGCCCTTATTTTCCCACTTGTTTGCACATTATGGTCAAGTGATAATTGCAACAGTTATACTGCGAGAGTGTTCTGGAGCTATTTGTGGTTTCAAGTGTCAAAGCAAGCCAGGCTCAGTTCTAAAAGTAAAGCTGGAGTGTGTAACTGCTTATACAACATCAGACTTGCATAAATATTTTTCCGTATTGCTTTCCTCCCTGTTTATTTTGGTTACTTTTTCTGTTTCCTGTTTATAAATTACTCCCATGTAGAGAGAGATGTAAGGCTAAGTATGGCTATGGCAGAATAGCTATACTGGGCTGTAAAGCAATGAGCCCATAGTCACTGTAATCAGGGTCATCTCCTTGTTTTACAACGTGCCAATGTGGTAGGAATGGCAGGCAGAAGAGTATAAGCAAACTTAATTTTTATGCCACCTATCAGAGTTTGTTCAAATAACAAATTCCAATATTATGTATTTATTACCAAATTTAACAATAAAAGTCTGACTTTTACATATGGAATAACTGTTTAGTCCAATCTGTTTAGAGGATCTCCTCCCTATCCTCAGAGAAGATGTTGGGCAATTGCTTTGTGTAGCAGATAGATCTGAAAGCACAATCTGTCTTAATCTTTTTATCCCTTTAATATATATTTTCTTATTATGCCTTTCCTGTGATCATAACTTAATTTCATGCTTTAACTTTGTTCATGTTATTGTGCAAATGAGAAGAAAGATGGCTCTCTGTGACAATATTATACTTGTTTTGCAGTTCAAAGACTACTTCCTGTTTTGCAGAAAAAAATCCCAGTACCAGGGCAGTGCTACATGCCATTGAATGAATGATTACTAAATGTTCACATCATGACACTTGGTAAGGATTCTGCACAATCTGTTCTGCGTGGTCTTTAGCCAGATCCCCTAACTGAATTTATAAAAGGCAAGAAAAGACATCTGTAAATTAAATAACTTCAAGCAGAGTGTTTAACAACACAGCAATAGCTTAACATCGACACAAGGATAGTCAGGACTGCGAGTAACTAACATTTGGTCTCTTGTGATCAGACTTAAATATATTATATTGTCTCTTAAAAACAATATCAAAGAGAAGCAAGAATTGCTGCAGACCCCTAGGTCTTATAAATGTGAAATTTACTCATCAACTATACCACTCGCATACTGTGCTTTTAAGAATTAACCGTATTTCTTGTTCAGTGAAGGAAAGCTCAACTTCTACAGGCTGGATTTCTCCCCTTCCCCTCCTCTCCTATGGTAAGACAAGTTACTGCCCCTTGTTACGATCAGATGTCATAGTATGTTCTTTCATGTATGGCAGAAAGTTTGTACAAGCCATGCAAATCAAGAAAATATCTGGTTTGCAAACAAGTTACAAATGAGCCATGTTATATGAGCCATGTTATATTTATTTTCCTCTCACTRTCAAGCTCTCCCAGTTGAGGAAGACAGTCCTTAATAAGTAAGAAAGTACTGACTGTTTTTTGCAGTTTGCCTCAAAACATTTCCTCTAGCTTACTGCTTCAGTGGAAGCATGAGAGCTTCTGTATATTCACAAGCAAAAAAACATTCTTTTAAAATGTAGTATCCATGGCCAAGAGGGCAAGGATTCCCTTCAAAGCCAGCTAATTGCAGTTGCATAACTGGTCCCCAACATCATGAGTAACAGTACACAGACAATTTCCTCCACTTCACCTGTGTTGAGTGGACAGATGTGTAACTTCCACAGTAATATTTGACCCGGAACCCTGTGCTCTAGGTGTCCCTGCTGGAGCAGGAGGTTGGACTAAATGATCTCGAGAGGTCCCTTCCAACCTCAACCATTCTGTGATGCTGTGAATGGGATAAAGGGCTTGATTCCTTTCTGCTGCAAGAAACAGCTCCCACCCAGTCATGCTTGCAGAACTTAGTAGCACTGTCAATGAACAGAAACCCTCTGAGGGTGCCTAGAAGGTCAAATCCATCTTCTCTGCTACTGTCTTACMGCAGTATTGGAGTATGCACTACACAAGATGCTGTGTTTTAGGGGAAAAGCTGRTGTGCTGGAGGAATCCCTTCTCTGAATGTAGACTGTTTATGTTTTCTTGGAAGGAGACCTTTATGTGAAAAATTTCCATCTTATCACTTCTTCAATTTTGCATGTTTTCATTCCTCATGTGTTCAGGCTGGGTAACAGACTTTTTTTTTAAGTTTTCACTGAAATTTATCCAAATGTCTAACAAATTCTTCATTGTTAAAAGACAAGCATTAATGAGGGACAGTCTGCTAATTCTGATACTGGSTCAAAATTGCAGGTTTTGGAGGAGCGCTACAAGGTTTTGAAGGAATTCGTGGCTTATAAGGCTTGGAGAGAAAGAGAACAAGGAATTCTGAGTGGGGGTGGCAATATGAAGTAGAAGAATAGGGGAGGAAGTAAAATGAAGATTATGACAAGGACAGAGTATCTTTTAGCTTTTTGTCAGAAGGCAGCATAGGTGAAGTGTGAGTCTGTCCTAGCCTTTCACCAGCCCCTCCTGGCATTCTAAGCATTCTAGCTTGTCTGTTATCTCACAATATAATTCAATTCTGAGATGATTCCATAGTATATTCAACTTGTTACAAATGTCCATGAACTGGACTGACCTTTATATATCTCTTTTTTTTGGTACAGTGAACAAAGTAAAAGGATTCCATGTTCCCCACAAACATAATTCTGGAAGTATATTTACCTGTATGCCATAACTTCATAGTCTTTGAGTACTAATCTTCAAATGTGTGTGCACTGGCAGGACAATCTATTCTAAATTCTTCATTTAGTAAATCAATGAAAGGAGTCTTCCCTCGAAAGTGGAGTCAAACCTAGAACCTGAAAGGGTGCATCAGGGTCCATGGATGCAACTGTTTGGATGCAGCCAGTTGCTTAGTGGGGTATAATGAGGGAAAATACTCCCCTTTTTYTTTTTTTTTTTTTTCTAATTTCTCTAAAATGACATAATTTACATGTATTAAAGATTCACATCAAATATATGAACTAAATTGAATTGTTTCTCTCCGCTAAGACTGCTTTGTTTTATGTTTTCCTGATTTGAGAAGCAAGTGTAGTAGAAGGCTGGACATACTCCTGTCGAGTCTAGCCTGCAGCTGCTGGATAGAGTATCCTTCAGGGAAGTGGGTCATTCATTTCTGGGATTTAAGCTGGGAAAGGAGGTACTTTAGTTCTACAGACATTTAGCTTCTATGTCTCTCTGTCGTACTTCATTAAAAAAATTATGAACATCCGAAAGTGTCAAATCCACTGCAATGGATTTGAAATAAATGTGTTGACTTTTTTTTTTGTCTATCAGTGATCAGAAACATTGAAATGCTCAAGCTGTGCAATTGTTGCAGATAAGCATCTGCAGTGATGCAATAGTCTGTGCCAGTAATTTTGCAAGGGTCGCTGCTGTGGCTGCTGGAGGCCATTGAAGCCACTGCACGTAAACTAATTCTTATTGACAATCTGGATTTTTGACAACCAGATGGTAGCCACAGTAAATTACTGTGGTCACCCTTAAAGAAATACTTGAGGCGTCTAAAGGATGTAAGAGTCAGATGGAGCCCTGCAGTGTAAGAGAATGTCCCTTTAGGGTGAGGTGGCAGATGAGTAAGTGTTTGCAGATTATAATGCTGAGTTCAGATGTCTGGATTTCGCTAGAAATCTGCTTGAAGAACACATGACTGTTTTGCTTCTGGATAGAAGAGGTGCTGCACATTCCTAGACAYGCAGAAACCAGTTGTTTGCGCCCCTCTGGGGCACAAAACAATTATCACTCAAATGAAATCAGAGACCATAGAAATTAATTTGGCACAGGTTGCAGTGGGTTCAGTTTTGCTTGTCTGAATAAGATTTATGTTTAATTTTCATAGCAAGTTTGTGTGTAGTGCTATGATAATAAATCATGTATATATACATAAAAGTCTATATTTAGTAGTCTTTGCTCTTTCTGATACTCTTTTTTAATTTAATCTGATAAAATTAAAATGGAATCAAATTTGCATGGTCCTACAGGATAGTTCATTTCTATTTGTGTTTTGATCCTGTGAGTGACTCAACAGGATTAAACTCATGCTAAAAATCCCTTGTTGCTCTTCCCTGATTTTCATTCTAAATATTTAAGATGGTAAAATTTCTATTTCTCATTCCGCCAAACTAGAAGAAAGTCAAATTAGGCAAAAGCATCTCAAACATGATTGTTACTGTTTTTTTTGTTTTTTTTTTTTTGTAAAGGCATACCATTACTTTTTATTCATTCAATCTAGGAAATCATTAACATTTTGGAATTTTGAAAGTCAGAAAAGATGGAATTTGATGAAATCAGGTCATACCATTACTTTTTATTCATTCAATCTAGGAAATCATTAACATTTTGGAATTTTGAAAGTCAGAAAAGATGGAATTTGATGAAATCAGGTGAAAATTTTGAGTGAGCAGGCCTGCAGAATCAATGGAGAGTTTATGGAAAGCTGTTAAGTTTTTAGAAAGAGAACATATGATCTTTCCAACTACAGTAACATCTAATATTGCATTGTCTGCGTGAGTATCTGTGAACTTAGAGGCTGTGAAATTGGGAAGCTTGTAGTGCTGAAAGGTACTAAGCACGGCTGTCTTCCAGCAACTGCACAGTTGTCCCAATACCTGTCCTTTCTTATACCAAATAACTGTTTTCTCAAGAAAAGGTTTCTGCATGCTTTATCCTSATCAGTTGGTTGAATTATTAGAAGTACGACATGCAAAGAAACGTTCTGTACAGAGTGTACGGTATGGAAATTTGAGGAATAAATTTGAAAAAAATGAAAGCCCTACCATCATTGCTGAAAATTAAAGAAAAGCAAACATAAAAAAAAMCCCAACTTTATTATATTTTCATGCTGACAGTCTGTGAGGTTTTTTTCCTGAGCATCAGGAGGTAACTTAAATGCAGTATAGCATAAATAATAAATCAATAGTTGATTTTACTTGAAAAATAGTATAGTTGTTTTAAATAAGTTTGGTACATCATTTTGTCTTGCAATTATAGTTAATAATTTCTATAACTATATTCTCTAACAGCCAACAAATGTGTATTTGATATAACAAAGAATGTTTATTAATTTTTTTATAGACTCTTTTGTTGTTCTCAGGATGTAGGTAATAATTCATAGGTATAAATGACTGTAAATTTGAAAAATAGCCTGTTCTGAAGGATTTTGGTTTTTTTAATGCACCTCCGAGAAAAAGGAAGTACCMTGTTGTGTGGTGCTACTCAGTTTGGCATTGCTGCCTACTGCCTAAAGCAGTTAATTGTCTTCAGGGTAGGTCTGGTCCCAGCACTCAGAACATTTTATGCTTTCATATTAAACAGCAACTGAGAAGAGAACTGTGAAACTTGAGGTGAGTGTCCTCCCTGCTAGACTGTGTTGTCTGGCTTGCTTGCACTCCAGCTGTCATTTTGGCAGGTTAACAGCCAAATTTATTCTCTTACCCTGCAGCTTTTTAGAGCAAAGCACTGTCTTTGGGAGTGGGAAATACTGATTATTAAGTGTAGATACTGCAGAATCCAGTAACTTGCACAAAAACTCCTGTTAATTGCTGCACCTGCCTATAGTTCTGCCCCAGAAAGTAGCGGGTGGCTGTATAGGCTTCTGCTAGTTGTTTGCTTCTAAGAGTAGCAGAATGCCCTGAGYAGTCATTGCTGCTGGGAGAAAGACACTTTGCTTAGGGCTATATGTAGTTTTTCTAGTTGGATGCTTAGCTTCTGATCTTACTTTTAGGAAAGGTTCCAGGCATACTAGGTATAAGAAATGTAACTGTTGATGAGAATACTTTAAAAACAAATTTAAGTCACTAATTAAAGTGCAGCA